TAATTTGAGAAATAAAATTAGGTTTTATAAAATATATGGAGTGAAAATTACGACAAGATTACTAATGCAAAAAATCTTATAAAATTTGAAGTCATGACCTTCCAAACATTGAAAATTGAGAGCAAGATGAATATATTTACATCGAAAAAATCAAGGATGAATTAACATTTGAACGAAATATTAAACTTGACAAAATGCACTTTTTAAAGAAATTATGATGGACTTCATGAATTAGCTCCTGCTGCAAATAATTTGGAAATTAAGTGTGACATTCTTAGTAAATGAAATAATCATGTCTAAATTAATAAATTGTTATTATTTCTTTTAACCTAAACTTATCCACCGAGTTTTTCGCTGTAACGTTTAGCAAGTATTTATTCGCAATCTTTCATTAAGAAATTTAGACAAATTTACTCTGATCAAGAAGGGTCTTCTAACTTTCACGAAAAATGTTATCATATCCAATCTATTGAATACACTCATCAACATTTTCTATTTTGTGTATTTCCTTGAAGTTCTACCAGATTGGGCAAGCTGGCGATATACATAGCGCTAGATGCTGGTTTCAATTTTGTATTCCAGAAGTTGCTCTTGGTGACAATTTGAAATTAAAACGATAAAAGAAAGAAAATAACTCTTTGAACTTGCCATTGAGTTGATGAATGATGACTAACAGACCTTTTATTCAAAAAGACATTCGAAAAATATATCGCAGCGTGGTGTTGCACAGTCTGATAGAGCCTCTGTTCTACAGTGTTTGATGCATTTCAATTCTTTCTCTCTCTGTTGAATAGAAATATGATGGCTATGAATGATATGTCAAGAATTTATTTACGAGGGAAGCTAAAATAAAAACCAGTGAAAAAATACATTGAATTTGTTTCCAGTTTGTGATTCCTTGGCTTGAAAAGGAATGTTATTATCATTATACTATCAAACCATATGCTAATTTTAGCTTAAAATTCTGTCATTTAAAGTGCTAGCTACTCTTATAAATGCCATCTGTAAAGATTAAGATAATTAATAATGTGAATTAAAATCCGATAACCTTATTTTATCATCTGATCGAAATTTTTTTCTTGGGGCAAAATGGAGAATAATGCCAGTTTAATATACTTTTATTATTTTTTAAATAGTTTGTAGTAAATTTCAGATATGAATAAAATTAAAAAATGAATTAATATTATCAAATAATGCGTTTAATATGAAAGCAAAATTTCTTGTTTGTATACAAAACAGATTCAATAGATAAATCTATCTATGGTTTATATTAATATTCATTAAAATGTGTTTGGAATCAAGGCAAAATTGTACATTCTTGACGAAATTCTTTACAAAATATATGAAATTAACAGTTGTAACGGTGAAATTTACATACAGTATGATACTGATAGTCTACAGATTTTCGTGCTTATAAGGACAACCATAGAAAAAGATAAATAAATCAAAATATGCTCACATGAAGAGTTTTTGTTGTACATTTATTATACCCTGATCAGTTCGCACTACTAACAAAATTTTTACCCTCAATGAATGCCTAGAAGATAATCTGAACTTAAAGACTTATACGAAAATGTCCATTTAGATTTAATAATGCTTAGCAGCAATAAAAGGTGTTCGAAATTTCAGAATTACATAGAGAAATTAAATCTTTGCGCAAAAAGAAATAAAAATAAAACATTAACGAGATCCCTAATTTTCACCTATTATTCTTTCCACTTATTGTTCTTTAAGTTTTCCACAATAGAATAAAAACTGTCTTATTTCTATGTGAAAAGAATCCATTTCTAAAGAAAGCAAAATTTATTGACGAAAAATGTTCTGGTTAAGAAACCTATAAAATTAGTGAAATTTTTTTTTAACTTGTTAGCTTGTAAAATGTTAGCATATCTATCAATATATTTCATACTAAAATGTGCGTTAAAAGAAATTTGAGATTATGCTTCCCTGCTATGAAGTTGCAGTGTTAATATTGTCTAATTAAAGGAATATTTATTCGCGCTTAATTAACAACTAAATTTCTTGATTTTTATCTCCCCATCAATTTTTTTTGTTAACAATCTAATTTCCCAGACAAAATGACTGTATTCTTTTAATTGTGCTTCAAATGCATGCATGAAATTGTATTGGAAGTAATTGTTATATACTTGAAATAGACATTTAACTACATCCAAGTTCCACAGTTAGGTATACACAAATAAAGTCTAAAAGAAACAAAAACAAAAAGTTAAAAATTTCGTAACCCTTTGATGACAATTGAAACAACTTGCCTTAATTTCCATCACACTACTATAAAACGTTTGCATAAACATAATTAAATCAAAGGATAAAAAATTTAGAGTTTCTGCTCTCATGCTCTTGACTTAATTTTATTCTTTTAAATAAGGAAATAGATCATTGATACTATTGAAATTCTTTTGTTATGTGTTATTCTTTTGTACACAATGTGTCCCGACATAATTACAAAGCAGTTTTTAAAATCTATTCTAACTCCACGTAAGAAATTTCCAAAATTTTCTAAAATATTTTAAAGATTTTTTATTGTACGTAAATACAGTGACAATATAATTTTATCTTTCATTAATTGTCAATATATACAGAATTGTTAATGTACACTTGAGGCTTTAGTCAGACCCCAAGAAACTAGTCACATATTGACAAGTGTGGAGAAAGTAACGGCCATGGAACATCTCTGAATGTCAGACAACCAGAAGTCTAGGAAAAGCTCAGGTAGGGATCTTCTAGCAATATGTGATAGGTTTTCAGTATGAAGTGCTATTTCCAAATTATGCCACGGAAGAAATTGTCAGATTCTGTGGAGAATGTCTGAAAAATGTTTTGTTTTTTTTCAAAAATAAGATTTTGAATAAAGAAATAGCTCTTTTATAATAAATGCCATTGCATATCCAATTTTGTCTTAAAATAACAAAATATTTGAGCTATTTATAAATATTCAAGGTGGTTAGTTTCAGCTTCAGAACCGCCAGATACCGTACTGTTGTTACAACTGCAGTTATACTCATGCAACTTTATTGGAATCTGTAATACACTTTTGATTGTTGAAAAGAATGGAACGATAAATTAGATGAAGAATTTTGCACGAAAAGAAAGGAAGTGTCACGAGGAAAATAGTTGCAATGAACCAATATTTATGAAATATAGAAATTTCAGTAGCACTAAAGCTTGCATTACTATTAGTGTGATACATATAATGCATTTTCGAACGACAGTTCAGAAATGATGCAAATTTGGGAAAGAGAAAGAAGAACAAATAAAAATATTTCCAAACTTGGCCTCTGTGTCGGTCCGTGAAGAAAGCCATATGAGTGCCCTCGCAACAGAGTGCACGCATGTGGCTTATATCCAATTGCGGTTGCTGTTGAAATGAAAGATAATTTGAGTTTAACATGCTTCAAATGACCGTCTTCTAGATGATACGTAGCATCTTACATTTACGAATCTGAAGCAGAACCTCTACTACTATTAATGAATGAGTAAGTTCGGTTTGGATAAGGGAACCAAATTCTGGGAATACCTATGAATATAATTTCCAAAGAATAAAATTTTATGCTGACAATTCAAAAGAATTTCCAAATTACCAAAACCTGAAAGTTACAACAGCATATTAAATGAACCATTAAAAATGCAGTAGGTATTAATTCTGGAAACTAAGCGAACTAGATGGATTATTTTTCACAATTATTTTTTCAATTTTCTCTCATTAAGCTTCGTTCAGACGGGGGCGTAAAGGCCATAAGTAGTTAAAGCCGAGCTCCGTTGCCAAGGCAACCAGTCTGTGCTACGTCACAAAATCTGGTTTAGAACTCGGGGCATAGGGTTCAAAGTTTTCAACTTTACGCCGAGTTTGGGATAAGCGTCGTCCAATCAGAGCGAAGCTAAAACGAAGCGGCGTTCTACAGAAGATTTCGCTGTTACAAAACAAGCAGAGCGAACGTGGGAAATCAATCGAGCAGGACAACGGCGCGGGAAAGTTGTAGACACATCCACGCATGCGCAAATTTAGCTTCTCTTATTGGCCACGGCTTTAGACCCGTTCTCACAAGTGTGAACGGAATTCCCGTATTTTATGCCCTTATGACTACGCCTCTATGACCTTTACGCCACCGTCTGAACGCAGCCTTATTATAATTAATCATTATACCCTCATTAGTAATTTATAGCCTCAGTAACTAATACAGCTGATTCTTTAAAGCTGCTAGCCCACCTAGGATGCTCTTCGAAAAATGCATATTGCATTTGTAATTTTTTAGAAGTTTTCTTAAAATGCATGTTTTAAAAAAACATATCATAACGTAATGATTAAAATATTTTTGTCATATAAGCTCAATAACATTTTGAAAATTACTACTTGAAACGTTCAAGTTCAAAATGCTCGATGAAATAGTAACAGGTTGTTAAGCCTTTTCTAATAGATTAAAACAGCATATCAAAATGTAATTCAGTATTTTAAAATGTAATTATAAAAAAATTACTTTCGTACGTATTGAATTGTAGATACAAATCATGGTCTAAAATACAGCTTCTTTTCATAGTTTCATATTTCACCATTTTGTATACCTCTTTATGTACTGGATATAGTTATAAGCCCCGAGAAATAAAAACTTATTTGAAAAGTATTTTTGTCATATCTATAAATAGCGAAGATGCGTAATACGATAGTCTTACTTTCGTGGAATTGCAGTTGAGTAGGAAGTTGAAGGAAAAACATGATAAGTTTCCATCCGAGTTGTGATGGGATTTCTCTTCTAGCGATTAAACCTTACACATTTCCAGCTGTGATAACGACTTGAAGGCTTACATTACACTTTTTTCTCTGCTTCAAATTATTGGAAAGTAGATAAGGGTACTCCTTGACAAAGTATTCGATATGTGGCATAAGTGGCATGAACATGGGAAATCTTCAAAGCTCTCCCTGGGAGATAAGAATTATCTCACTCAGATAAGAGGAAAGAAATATAATGTACAGAAATCACTCTTACCTGTCACGATTATTTTCCCAGCAGTGATGCTGACCACCATTTCGCCAGTTAATCTGTGTCTCGTCTGACAGCGATAGCTCCAATCTGAATCTTTTTCTTGCGTTTCGTGAATAAGAAGTTCTCCGGAATACAGGACGGTGTGCGAGCGTACTGAAAAAAAATGCTTATGTGAAACAGATAAAAATAAATATAGTTATAAAGCAATTTTTTCTACCTTTCATTGCAGATATATGTGCACATGTATATGCAGTTCTTCGAAGTGAGCACCGGGCTCATTTCTTTCTGATGAGCAGTGGATCCCTTCCTCATTAAATACTGATGTCAGCCAGTAGTCATATAGTCTCAATTACACAATTCCTCAAGGAAAGACGTAGAATATTTTTGAAATAGTTCGGTGTGCTTTCGTAGAAAAACTCGGTCTAGTTAGCGTAATTTTTATCGTGCTTAATGCTTCAATAAATTAAATTAAAATTTTTCCAAGTTTTACATGCAAAAATTCGAGAAAATATCATTAATTAATAAGTTTTATTATTATGCCTTGCAGAAAGGAATTACGAGTTGGTTTACCATATATGAAAACATTAATCACTAAAAGGAGGCTATTTTTTTTCCTAGATCTTGCTACAATTTTCTCAAATTCCATAGTAATGAGGAAATTGCTCTAAACTACTAAATTCATTTCTCATATATTTTTTAAAAAATGTAAGAAATTTGATTTAAAGTATAATGAGTATAAAGTATTTCTCCCGCCTTCTTGCCTTCGTGGTGTAGTGGTCTACACGCTCAGCGCGTTATTAAGAGGTTCGCGGTTCGATTCCCGGTGAAGGCGTTGCTAATTTTTCATCTTGCTTACTTCCAAAAATAACTAATGTCTCTACATGAGCATTTTGCTATTTCGATTTTTAAGATATAAATGCAACCACTTCGAATAGTCTAGTGTAACAAATAACCGTAGCTAAAGTAAAATTATATTCTTGCAAAGCATGCCTCTCGTCATGTCATTCGCTAACACGAGTATCAGGGAGTGAAAATTTCTTGATTCTTGCCAAATATGAATAATTTACTTGTAGCCTACTTACTATACAAATTTTGCTTCTGATTATGATATTCTTTCATATATTGAAAACGTCAATTATTAAGTGTTTATTAAATATAAGAGAGCAGTCAAACAAATGTTTTCTAGAATCTATTATGTTTTGTAGCATAAAACGCTTTGTTTTAATTTTAAAAACTACAGAGGAGAAACAGGACATTTTTTCAGTTTTACAAAATAATTTTCATAAATGATGTAAATGCAAAAAAGATATGAAATATAATTGTTAAAACTAAATGTTAATTTCCTTCATTTAAATTCTGTGAAAACATATATTTAGAGCAATTTTGAAAATTATTTACACAAGCATTTTCTTGCCTGCATCATTCGAAGAAAAAAAATAAAGATTAAGAATTCAAGCACAAGAAAACAACTTCTGAAATTTAATACTTAAAAATGATTAACCAATATTAGGTAAATTTAACATAAACGTATCTTTCTTTGTGAGAGAGAATAAATTTGAAAATAACGCTATATCCTTTCTTACTTCACATTATATTTATAGTCCCATGGCTCTTATTAAGACAGACAACAGACTAAACTCAAAAACATACAGATTTGCGACACGGCAACGCATTACTGTTATTTTAACCGAAAATCTAAATGCAGTTTAAAATTATGCTTTTGAAATTAAAATTACAAATAACGCCTTTGATAACAATACGCCATTCTCCACATAATAAAAATTGTGATAAAGTTCACTAAATTAAAAAAGTAAACGTTTTTCATTAACTCCTGCTAGCAAATGTTTTTAAAAAATAAAATAAATATATATATAGAGAGAGAGAGAGAAATATAATTATAAATATAAAAAGTTTTCAGAGTTTTCAGTAAGTTTTCAGATTTCATATTACGCCCAAAGGGCCCTTTTTTTAACGTTTGGTGCGTTACTTTGTTTACGGAATATCATGTTCTTCACACTTACACCACATAAAATTCAATTCAACAGTAATATTACAAAATATTTAAAAACAGCATATCTTTAGAATTTCCGATAGACAGTCTCACGCGCTGGATATAAAAATGTTTTTTTTCCTTGTGCAGTGTTGCCATTGCCGGCTTTGAAATCGTTGGATTTGTTAATCAAAAATTCGTTAAAGTTTGTTAAATTGTGAAATAGATAATGAAACAAATTCGAAATTCACATTTCGGGCTCTCAGGTGCCCATATTCCGGTGGAAGATTACGTTATTAAAAATTTGATGGCCTTAAGTACAGTCATTTATTCACAATTCAAGAAACATACCTGTATTCGTGCACATTGTCCTTTATTTAATTGCTTTTAAAATAATACAGATCGATAATATTCGCGGCAACAATTTGAAAAGTGATTTAGACTTTTACAGTGATTCAGTGCAAAAATTCACTTTTGAGAGTAATAGCCCTTCTGAGCTAACGCTCCTTTGGGCTTAAAAAAAGGCGAAAAAGCAAAGATAAAATTTCAGAATCAGTAATAGAAATTTGCGGTCATCATTGCAAATTCATCTGTTAAAATTGAAGATCAATATTTATATTTCAACAAAGGCTAACTTTGCAATAAAAGAAAAGGAAAACAAAAGTAATGTCCTTTTATTTCAGTGAAAAATGTGACAAGAATAATTACAGAAAACGAATACTGAATGTTGGTTAAAAGACGTGATTTGCATTAAGATCGAAAAACAATCGGTTTCATCGAACCCCTATATGCCAGACAAAAACAAAATTGAACGTCTATGTATGTGTTTGCGACGTTAATGAAGTCTGCAAAGCGTGGGGTCCATAGAAAACAAAACGGTCGAAATAGGGAGAACGTGACGATCACAATGCAAGACTATTAAGGATGGTGCTCCATTAAGGACATAACGCCAGTATCTTAAACTACTTGCTAGTTTCATGTTCCTCCGCTATTTAGTCATTAAGCTTGGCTCGTCTAATGGGACAAGATCAATTATCTAGTCCCAGTATCATCACAAAGTGCCATTCTATCTGTTCGAAAATGCAGACCGTGCCAAAGATCGCCCATTAGCTGAAACCCGGTTGTTCATAAAACGACATTTTAAAATGGCATGTTATTTGTTGTTAAGAAGAGGGTATTCTTAAGGTAATCGACCTGTGTCATAGCACTGGAGAAAAAGTACTCTGATGTTCCATTGATCATTTTAGTACAATATCAACGACGACATTAATATATGCTCCAGAGAAAAGTTTTCTACTCAGAAAAGCTTATCAAGTATTCAGGTGCTTATTAGTAACGATTGTTAACCTAATTTTTTAAAGCACATAGCCAAAGAAAGCTCAAGAGAGTTTTGCAAATTTAAGCGCTGAGAAGTTATAAAATAAGAAAAGGCTTTTAAAAAATTTGTAAAAATGTAAACTGAAAAAAATATTGTTAAAAAGTAAAAAGAAAGAATTATACGTAAAATAAACAAACATATTTAAAGTGTATTATTTTTCCCTGAACTTTTCATTGTATTTTATTTTTTCGTGTTAAATTTCTGTCATTCGTTTCTTTCTCAAAACATTTTACACCAGTGGTATTTACGTTTCTTTATTTTTGATCAGAAATTACCGAAATCATAGTTTCAAAATTTTGAAAACAAAGAGGAAAACTGTAAAGCCCTCTTCACTGTTTGGCTGTCTAAGAATAATAACCCTTTGGTAGATGGTTTACAGCGGATTAATTCGTTAATTTTAAACAGCCCACCAGCGGCCGAGCGGTAGAGTCGCTGAACACTGGTAGTTCGGTCTGAGGTTCGAATCCCGCGAACGGGCATGGCTGCATGGGCGTTTTCGTGGTTTTCCCCATGTGTAACGTGTATACGAGCCAGTTTGCCTTAGAAAGTCCTCCACGAAGGCATCCCTCCCCTTAGGCAGATAGCCCTCGAGGACTTGCCATAATCACACACACACGTTAATTTTAAAGTTAGTGAATCGTTTTTTTAGCCCAAAGGGCGTTAGCTCAGAAGGACTATTAATTTCGTTTTGGCATTTTCCGGCGAAAATTTGAAATGTCCATTTCACTTTTCGAATTGTCGCCACCAAATATTATCGCCCTGTGGTATATTAAAAGAAATTAAATAATGAAGGATCTGCATAAATGTATGCATGTTTCTCGCATTGTGATAAAGCAATGGTAGCTAGATCTATGAAATTTTGAATAACGTACGTCTCCACGCGAATATGGGTATCTGGAAGCTCTAACTTGGATTTGGAATTTGTTTTATTATCGATTTCATATTTTGTATAACGAATTTTTGATTTAACGTTTTAACGCTTTAACGAATTTTTGAATAACAAACTCAACGATTTCAAAATCAGCAAAGACAACACTCTACGGGAAAAAAAAAAAAAAAAAAAAAAAAAAAAAAAAAAAAAAAAAAAAAATTGCCAGCGCGCGAGACTGTGTATCGGAAATTCTAAAGATGTGCTCATTTTAAAATTATTTTGCGATACTGCTGTTGAATTGAATTTTATGGTTTAAGTGCGAAGAATATGATACTTAATAAATAGAGATAATACACAAAACTTTTAAAACAACTCCCCTTTGGGTGTGATGTAAAATCTGAAAGCTTTCAGATTTTTTATATAGTTTGCCTTTTATTTATTTATTTATTTTTATTTATTTGTTTATTTATTAATTTTTGGCATTTTTCCCGCTTTTTTCAAGAGTCTTGATTCTTACATCTTGTTCATAATCATAGTTATAAAGGTGACCGATAAAAAGAAAAGAAAAAAAAAAAAAAAAAAGAAACGGATATAACGGTACCGAAAAAAGTGACTTTAAGCGCGAATTAGGATATGGATTAGATTTATATACAGCATTGTTCTAATATTTTTATACAAAATTGGATTTTTTTGTGAAATAACATATAACTTTTTTCCATATTTGGATTCCATGACTCAAATTATGCCAAACTGCCAAGTTTTGTCAAAATCGTCCGAGTAGTTTTTAAAAAATTAGCTCTCAAAATTTTAGCTCCTCCATGTTAATTGAATCTCGTATATATTTATTAATATCTCTTTTTTTACTCAATTTACTTGATTCCTCCTTTCACATTTCGAAATATAGGTTTTTAAAT